GTGTCCGTATTCTCACCATTGAATATTTTGTCAAAATACTCTTGCCATCGATGTCGGATCTCATCCTCCTTCACCAAGAGATGCTCCCTTTCATCCTTAATGCACTTAACTTGGTTGAAGTCCCTTGTCTTTCTCTCATGAACCTTAGCCATCCTATAAATGTCCTTCTCTCCTTTCTTCGTACTCAAATGTTGATAAAGATCCTCGTATGCTCTACCCTTTACCACACTTACAGCTCGCTTTGTAGTCTTCTTTGCCACCTTGTACTTCTCTCTGTTGTCCACACTTCTGTAATGGTATAGCGTCTATAGCATTCTTTCTTCTCCTTAATAGCCCTTTGGACTTCCTTGTTCCACCACCAAGTATCTTTAGCCTCGCCTCCACTTCCTTTGGTTACTCCACACACCTCTGAGGCCACCTTGCGAATGTTGGTTGCCATCTTCTCCCACATGTTGTTTATGTCATCTTCCTTCTTCCAAGAGCCCTCTTTGATAACCCTTTCCCTGAATACCTCTAACGTCTCTCCTTTCAGTTTTCACCACTTTGTTCTTTCAATCTTAGCTTGTTTATCCCTATGGGCACGCACCTGAAAACGAAAGTCTGCCACCAAAACCTTATGTTGAGAAACAACACTCCTCTGGTATCACCTTACAATCCAAGCATGCTCGTTTGTCCTTTCTTCTTGCGAGGACAAAGTCAATCTAGCTAGAGTGTTGTCCGCTACTGAAGGTCACTAGATGAGATTCTCTCTTTGTAAAGAAAGTGTTGGCTATCATCAGGTCAAAAGCTACCGCGAAGTCCAGAACTTTCTCCCCTTCCTGATTTCTACTACCATACCCAAAACCTCCATGAACTACATCGAAACATGTGCTTATAGTACCTACATGCCCATTAAGATCTAATCCTATAAAAAGCTTCTCACTACTAGGTACAGCTCTAATCAGGTCATCTAAATCTTCCTAGAACTGTCTTTTAGCACTCTCGTCGAGGCCTACTTGGGGGCATACGCACTAATTACTTTCAAGACCATATCACCAACGACAAGCTTGACTAAGCTAATCTTATCTTCTTGCCTTCTCACTCCCACCACACCATTCAGGCTCTTATCAATCAAAACTCCTACTCCATTTCTATTCGCGACTGTCCCTGTGTACCAAAGCTTGAAACCTGTATTGTCCACCTCCTTCGCCTTCTGACCCTTCCATTTAGTCTCTTGAACGCATAATATATTTACACGTCTCCTAGTCGCGGTATTAACTAACAGCCTGTTCGCTTGGTCGTAAACGATCATAAATTTCCAGCCAGAACAGTACTTTTCTCTCACACCAAACCAGCCAGCAGTAAATAATCCACGATCCTTTACGGTCTCCCGAACAGGCTGTAATTCTCTTAATTTACCTGTAAGCGACCCTACATTCCAAGTAACTAAACGGATCCTAGTTGGTTCGACTAGCTTTCTTACCCTTCGCACCCGTCGACTCAGATGTGAAGACCCTTGCTAATTTTTCACTACACTTGGGAGCCGTTGTAACGCGCCACTAAGGAAGCGATGACCCGATCCTTGCTCACTTAACACTATATCCAGATCGCGATACGGCACGTCACCAAGGGAGTGCCGACCCGGCCCTTGCCCATTTAACACCATACCCAGGTTTCGATATGGCGCGTCGCTAAGAGGGTTACGCCCCAACGGTTTTCTTTCGGGTTTCATCTCCATTAGAATGGCTAGATTTAACGTTGGCTCGACACGCCTATCACAACCCTCCTCCTTTACCAGGGCCTGTGACCTGCTATATTGAGACAACATAGACGGAGTTTTATATTTGAAACTAAAATAAATAAATAAATCACTTGAGCACAAAATTCCACTTTGGTGGTTATTTTGGAAGTCCGTGATCTTCAGCAAAAGGTTTTTTACGTCCATAAGTAGCTCTTGATTCGAAGTTGAACGATTTTGGATCTTGCTTAAAAGTTCTAAGCTTTCAGCTTAAACTATTGGAACTCAATTGAATCATTGGCTTGAAATGAAAATTGTAAGTGGTTAGACGTACATGGTTCGGGCAGCTAGAGAAAACAAACGGACGAACCCAACAGCCTTGCAGCCAGGCCAGGGACATACGGCAGTATAAACGATGTGTTAGAGGAAAAGGAAAAGAAAAATGACTAGAGTGGTACACGGTTCTTGAATTGGTATTCATCTATTCAAAATTAAAGATCTCAGTGACTTCCAAATTGTCTTTGAGTTCTGTCAAACATCTGAAAGTTCACCAGTCCATCTCAACTGAAAGTTCTGATTGTCACCTACAACCTTCTGAATGTCACACGAACTCAATTTGAAGCTTGTACAACTTGTTTACATGTCTTAGGACTTGACAGTCTTGAATAGAAAAACTCAGAGACTAGGCCCTGAGTTTATGAACAACACAGTCTTTACTCATTGGAGCTTTGCACTACCGCAAACCAAAATATTTGACTCGAGGTTAAATATTTAATGCAAAGCAAAACTGCAAAAGGAATAAAAAAGGCTCGGCAACTGGTTATGCAGGTCCATGTATCTCATGCACTTGAAAGTTGAAAGTAGAAGAATAAAAGATTTAGCATCGGTATCACAGGGCCACAACATGATCATGAAAAAAAATCAATATGGCGGTGACACTTGACAGCTGTGAAATATCATGGGATTCATTGTAGAATGAACCAGGAAAACGGCACATAGATAACTCTTATGACAATTGGCTTGCAAAGAAATGTGAAAGATCAAGCAGGATTCCAGATGGAAATTAGTATGTCATGAAACAATGGCAAAAGGCATTTTTTAAAGGGTTAATTAGATCTGTGCCATTATAACTTCACCGTTTTTTAAGCACGCCATTACTATTCAACAAACTATGCCACTGCCATTGCAACTCTGCAGATGTTTGAGATACGTCATTATGTACGCTTGGAGATGACTTGGGCCCAATGTCAGAGGTATAGAGGGGTAACGTATATCCATATGTACAAGATTGCCCCCTTACTCTTCTCTCTTACACTCGTTGACACATGGAGCCCACTCGTCAGTCTTCCCCACCGTCTTCCTCCCTCTCTGTCTTCATCTCCGGCGGCGGCGCAGTAGCCCCCTCCCTCTCCGTCTTCTCCATCTCCGACTTGGCGCTGGTCATGACGACTTCAGCACGCCGCAGGCTCTACCCGCTCGCTCTGGTCACCCGGCAGCGGGGGCGCGACCTGCCTGCCCACGAGCTCGCCTGGCGGCAGTGTAGAAGTGGTGCAGTGGCCTGCATGCCAACCCACGCGCTCGCATTGCGGCAGTGCAGCAACGGCGCGGTGGCCCGCCGGTGCGCTCGCCCGGCGGCAGCACAGCGGCCCACACGCGCACGCTCACCCGGTGGCAGCGCGGCAGCCCACACACGCGCACTTGTCGGCCATGGGGGCTGGGGGCTGGGCTCGAGGTTTCTTGGTCGGGGGACGGGGCTCTGGCTAGCTGGACTGGGGCAGGCGGCCTGCGTGCGGCGGTGCGGCGCGCTGGGCCTGCAGTGGCGCTGCGCCGGCCTGCACACGGGATGCGGTGGAGGTGGGGGTCGGGCAAGGCGGTGCGCACGGCTAGCAGCGGCGCTGTCCAAGGCTGCGCGGCGCCGCTGCTGGGGACGGCGGTGGCTCAGCTACGGCAAGGCAGTGGCGGAGGCTGGAGGCACGCTGGCCGACAAGGACGCAGTGGCTCACGGCGCAAAGCAGAGGATGCAGCCTGAAACAAGGAAGAAAGTGGATGGGAGAGGGATGACACGTGGGCCTGATACATCATCGAGGAAGACAGAGGGACACTAGCAGGGGCAAAAGTGTCCATACGAAAGTACATTAGCTTTAGGATGCCTGAAAGTGGGTCCAATACGTCTTCAGGTGTACATAATGGCGTATTTTAAAATAGAAAACAATTGTAGTGGCACTAGCATAGTTTCTTGAATAGTAATGGTGTGCTTCAAAAACGACAAAGTTATAAAGGCACAGATCCAATTAACCCTTTTTTAAATGTGAACTTGACTGACTCTGGACTACACAAATAATGAATTAATAAATATACAACAAAGCAACCAATGATTTCACATTCATCCACTTCCTGCAACCATTTCTTTTTAGAAATTGGAATACAGTAGCCAACCTATGCCTTGTGGATGCACAGAGCCAGAAAACTACATATGCAGCAGTTTGCGGTAAACATGTTTAAGTTCACTGTACAGATCTGTAACTATGGTAGCCATAAGCAAATGACATAGGAAAACATTAGTATCAGACTAAGTATCATATCAAGAGGAACAAAAGGGGACAAACACACTACATTGTCGTATCGCAAGGTAACATAAAGTTTTGATATGAGCCTTGACCAAATTAAGGAACACCGACATCACAACATAAATGCATGGAAAATTATTCAACCTAGCTTCAATAAATGCATGATATAAGAAACTTGTGGCAGAATAAATCTGGATACAGGATGTCTGATTCAAAAAATTCTCCACAGGAATCTAGTTAGATAGGAAGCAATAGTTAAGCTTAGATTTATCCAAATATCCATTACTCCCACAAACATCCGGAAACAAATTTTGCAGAACTGAATATAGTATCACAAAAAAAAGGCCACATGTTGCTAGAGAAATCAGAATAAACTGCAGATATCGGCTGATGTCACACAGATAGAAAGAATTCCAGGCAACAGTAGGCTTTTGCAAGAGAAATAGTACTGCTAATTAATTTCAACACCTACATCGATCACACTACCAGAAACCTTCCAGATCTTCATTGGCTTAGCTTGCGTGTTGTTGGCTGCAGACTCAGAGAGTGCTGGAATGTTGAAGCACAGAAGCACCACTGTAGAGTTCAGCATTAGCGGTCAGAAGATCAAAAGGGTCTCTACATGAAAAATTAGATGCTATTTTGAAAGACCAAGCAGAGGATGCCCCATCAGAGGATGGACTCTTGAAGACAATCACTTCACAGTCTTTACTGGATCATATTGCAGAAGTCAGAGGCTTCAGCTTGGCATTGACAGCATCTGGTGAAGAGAAACATTTTGAGGCCACCATAACCACCATCTTCTCTAGGACCTGCGCTCTCTCAGCAATGAACTTGAGGAACGCTAGCTCACTTCTCTTACCCCGAAACTCTTGGAAGACAAATTTCTTCACATGCCTCTGGACGCAATCAATACAGCCAGCCTCCTTCCCCTTCCAGAACTTGGGATCAACCTTGCCACTGGAGTCATCATTCACTGACTGCATTCAGATCAAATCAAAGCATAGATAGGTCAGTTAGCTATTGTTCTGAGTCAATAGTTACACAACTAGAACCTATTAAAACAAGCTAGCAAGCTGGCTTTGGTGCCATTAATGCTAGATGCCAAATAAACGAGATAGGGCTGGCAAATCTTACAAAGACATGGAGCGTCTCCACGTTGGGAAAACATTTGAGAAAGCAAGGCATCATTTTGACTTCATTGCGGACTTCAAATCCCACCTCCAAAGCCAAGATCTTGACGCTTGGGACCATGGTGCTTGGGGTCATTTTAGTACCCACCTGCAATGCAAAATGTGCAATAAAAAGCACCGGAACAGAAATTTAGATCAGAACAAACAATGGTACACTCTATTGACACAAATATACAAGCAAAAGCTGAAACTAGGACCTTGAGGATGGTGTTGCCAATCTCCAGTTCGAATCCCGGCTGGCAATGTCCCAGCATGCACAGGTTGGGTGCGTGGCCAATCTTGATCTTTGAGCATCTCTTGCCGGTTATGGCAGGTGATAACATCCACATGAGCAGCCTCTCCAGACGAGGAGCGTCCACCACAGTGATGTCCACTTGGTTAGACATCCTCACCTGCACGCACCGCAGGCTGCGGCTGATCAGCCGGACTCGAGCCTTCCCGGTCAGGTTTGTGGTGATGGTGAGGACCTCCAGGACAGGGCTCCGGTCGATTAGGAAGTGGAGGTCTCGGTCCTCGATGACGACCGTGCTGAGGACAAGCTCCTGGAGGTGGGGGAAGCGCGTGGCGCGCGGGAGCCCGACGGTGCTGGGGATCCTGCACAAGCCCAGGTGCAGGCGGGTGATGGCGGCGCAGCCGAAGAGCGCACGTGGGAGAGGGTGGTCGAGCGGCCAAGGGCGGTTGATAAAGACGAGCTCTTGGACGCCCTTGGCGCCGAGGAGCTCCAGCCAGCGCTCGATCTCGGCCTGGTGCGACGCCATGTGGCAGCGGGAGAGGTGGACGCAGTGGAAGGGGCCCGGGTGCGCGTCCAGGACGCGGGACACCGCAACGGCGACGGCCCTGGACAGGGCGTCTTCGCCTCCGGGCATCATGTGGTCGGCCGAGATCCAGCGCGGGAGGATGTGGGCGTCGACGACGGCGAGCGGCGCGGAGCGCCAGAGGCCGCGCCAGCGCGTGGCGAGCGCGGCGGTGCGCGCGGCGTCCTTGGCGGGGAGGCGCGACACGACGTTCCGGAGCAGAGCGTCGGGGAGGAGGCTGATGCGGTCGACGCCATCGGCTGGGGCCTGCGCGGCGACGGCGGAGGCGAGCGGCGCGGCGGGAGACACGGGTGGGTTGGGGATGGCGTCGTACGCAGCAGTGAGAAACATGGCCGCGCCCAGCATCACCGGGTCGGGAACGTCGACGTCCACGCCGTCGCGCTGGAGGTAGCTCCGCATGTTGCTCACGCTAACGCCCATGCTCGTGAGAAACTGCTGCTCCTCCATGGTCGCCGCCGCGCTGGAGCGGAGCGGAGCGGAGGCTGGGGCGGAGTGGAGGGGCACAGACACGCGTGGATTGGATCGGAGTGGCAGGGAAGTATCTGGGTTATGCGTTGCTGGGCCAAATGTCCAAACCAACCGCTATCAGGCCCATCACGCACTGGACGATCCACAAGGCTATTTTTGTGCAAAAGCAGGCTTGATAAATTCGTCTTTTATACTGGAAACGTCTTGTTCATTCAAAAATCCATTTCGATAATTTAGTTTAAGGGAGCAAAAAGATTAAAGGCCCGTTCGTTTCACGAGGAATGGCTCTCAGGAAAAATTCCCGCCGGAATTGCTAGTTAATTTATACCAGGTTTGATTAGCTGGAAAAATTCCTGGCCTCATCCACCCCTAACCGAACGAGCCCTAAAGAAAAACATAAGGCGATACAAGCATTAGGATCTCGTACATTTTCGCCGTGTGAAATGAACTATTGTTGTGTTAGATGTAAGAAATGAAACATAAAGCAACCGAAAACATGGTTATGGAGGTAACTTTACATCTTTAAAGATGCAGTGGCATTTTCAACGAATTTTGGAAAGAAGAATTAGTTGTCTTTTCAGCATTGAGTGATTAATAACCTTGTACCTTTTTGTGAAAGAACTACTTGCACCTTTTAGTTGATTTTGTAATTTTTTTAATAGCCAATAGTTCAGCTTCAAAAAATAAATCTAACAAATATTAACATTTAGTCGTATGTTTTTATTTGGAAGCCATCTTGGTACAACTTAGACTCGAAATTGTATTTAATATTCGAAATTATCAAAAATCAGATGACCACCAAATTCCACATTGGTGGTTTTAAGTTGAAATTTTTTAAAGTCCACTGTCTAAGATAAAAAAAAAAGTCTTTAGTCTAAACTAAAAGCTTTTGATTCTTGAGATATTTACCTGTCCCAAAGGACCACAAACACCTTAAGCACATGAGTTAGCTTTTCCAAACATTTTCAAAGCATTTTCACTTTCTTCCTAACCCCGTCACTATGTCTAATGCACATGCATATCACCAAGTGGCACTAGACAACGATAACCGCATTAGAGTTTCCCTCTTAATATTATTACAAGAGTCTATCCAAAACCTGACCGTGCACTCTATTGCACATTGGTCAATAAAAACAAAGTTCTATTGATATACCTTTGCCTTTAGACTTGCTCCTAACTCCATTTCTTTCTCTTCTCTCCAAGGTTGAGGACTTGCATCATTGTCATGATAACTTTCACCATGCTCCTAGCCCTGCTCAACTCCTTGTGTGGACCTAGCTCAATCATCTCCATTGAAAATATTAGTCCACTAGTTGTCACTTAATTACCAAAACCAAAGGGCTTTCAAAGTTCATGACAAGCCTATCCTGACGTATCGAGAAGTCAACAACGTAGTCACCCTCCTTGAACAAGATTGTTCAGAACTCCTTGACCACGATTATGCACTCGTCTAGACATGATTCGTACCCAAGCACTGGATCTTCATTGTGACATCCCAAGCCTCATGCATCAGCTTCTTGGTAGCCATGAACCAGCTAGCTCTTCAGAGACACCACCTCCCAACAACTCCAATGCCATCTGGTCATTTGTGAACTCTACACTGCCCTTCTCACTGATGACCAAAGCCCTCTTGCTTGGAGCTGGACCTTTATTAGCAGCAACCATTTAGAGTAGTTGGATCTAAAAAGGATCAAGTAGTTCCTCCAAAACATCAATCTCACTGGTCACGCACTGGATGATGAGTTGTCACTATCCTTGCCATCACTGGTGGCTACTTTCTTACCTAATGAATCTTGTGGAGCTATCCTTAGTGCCCACTCGATCGCTCGATCACGATTCCACCAGTAGTAGCAAGAGATGATGGATTCCATAACTGGTGAGGCTTGATACTACTAGTGAGAATTCACTAGAGAGATGGCACGATGAAGCCATTAGCGAACTCAAAATCACACGCACGAACACAATGGAATGAACACATGTGCACTCGATTGTTTGTGCTGCAAAAATTGGCAGCTTTTCTCGACTCAACATTTAAAATAAATATCAACCATTACAACCGAAAGACTCGGCCTCGATGAACCGAGTTACATGCACCACAAGTCCTCGACCATTGCCATCCCAAGCATCAGAATCGCAGTGCACTGGACGCTCTCTCATGCGAATACACACACGTTAGAGCTCAATGGGCAGACTGCTTGCTAACACAACCAGGCACCTAACCAACTAGCAACTAACTATTGATAAACACAAGAATTATTCAACAGTAGTTAGTTCCATGATCTGACAAACATTAAAGATAATGAAAGGTTCGAATAACAGTCCGGTGTCTAGGACATTTGGTTCGAGTAGGCATAGCCTATTACTTGGGCAATTCTTCCAAAGTTATGCATGTTTCTGGCCTAGCAAATCTTTGCAACTTTTGATGCACTTCATTGACCTTGCTTTCCATGTTTGAATGATACTTTAATCTCAACCTTTTTAGCTCGACCGCCCAATGAAATAGTCATTTAAAAATAGCAATTTCATGGTCAGTTCCATTTGTGTCAATGATTACTACTTCTTCAAGGTGCATCAGAGTGAGCTTTAATGGTCGTACGGGGGAGATGTCGTGGCAAAATCCGTGAGGGCCTGAGATTTAATGGCCGTACAGGGGAGGTACCTCATGTCGTGGCCCATGAGCTCGAGTGCCCACTTAGAGATCCATCCTGCGGCGTCGCGGTTGTGGATGATGTCCCCGAGTGGGTACGAAGTGACGACCGCGACTTCGTGGTCGGTGAAATAGTGCAAAAGCTTCCGGGTTGCCATTAGCACGGCGTACAGGAGTTTCTACACCTGGGGGTACCAAATCTTGGGGTCGGTGAGTGCCTCCCTGACGAAGTATACGGGTCGCTGGACCTTGAGCTGGTTCTTGGTTCCTCCCTTTCGACGACCAGGACGGCACTCACAACATGGTTGCTTACCTCGACGTACAAGAGGAGGGGTTCTCTCCGTTAGGGAGTGACGAGGATTAGGGTCGACATCAGAGATGCCTTGAGACTTTCCAAAGCCTGCTGGGCTTCCTCAGTCCAAACGAAGGCGTCTGTCTTTTTGAGGAGCTTGTATAGCGGCATCCCCCGTTCGCCGAGTTGGGAGATGAAGCGGCTCAGGGCAGCCAGACAGCTGGTGAGCCTTTGTACGCCCTTGACATTGCGTATGGGGCCCATGTTGGAAATGGCCGTGATTTTTTTGGGGTTGGCCTCGATGCCGCGTTCAGACACGATGTATCCAAGCAGCTTCCCCTTCGAAACCCCGAAAACACATTTTTTGGGATTCAGCTTGATGTTGATCCTTTGGAGGTTTGCGAATGTTGCGGCCAAGTTTGCGATCAGGTCGCGAGCTTGAGCTGTCTTGACCACGATGTCATCAACGTAGACGGCGATCATTGGCTTTGGCCACTCGACTTGATTAGGCTGATCGAGCGGGTCGATTTGGTCGGCGAAGCATTGCTGCATGCACCTTTGGTAGGTGGCGCCAGCGTTCTTCAGGCCGAAAGGCATGGTCACGTAACAGTATGAGCCATATGGGCTGATGAACGAGGTTGCGAGCTAATCGGATTCTTTCATTGCAATCTGGTGATAGCCTGAGTAGGCATCCAGAAAGGAGAGGATCTCACAACCCGAGGTGGAGTCGACTATCTGGTCAATGCATGGCAAAGGGAAGTGATCCTTTGGACACTCCTTGTTGAGGCCAGTATAGTCGACGCACATTCTTCACTTCCTGGTCTTTTTCTTAACAAGAATGGGATTGGCAAGCCAGTCAGAGTGAAATACCTCTCTGATGAATCCCGCTGCCAGGAGTTTGGCGATCTCCTCGCCTATGGCCCTGCGTCTCTCGTCGTCGAAGCGACGCAGACGCTGCTTGGTGGGCTTTGAGCCCGGGGTGAGGCGCAGCGCGTGCTCGGCGACCTCCCGTGGTATGCCCAGCATGTCAGAAGGCTTCCATGCAAAGACATCGAGATTGGCACGCAGGAAGTCGATGAGCTCGCATTCCTATTTGGCTGGGAGCTGGGTCCCGATCCGCACCATTTTGGTTGGGTTGGTGGGGTCGATAGCCACCGCCTTGGTTTCCTCGAGCGGGTGGAAGGCCGTCGAGGAGGTTGGTTCATTGCAGTCTGGGACTACTAGGGTTGACGACTCTTCGAGCCGTGGGAGCTCGGACGAGTTGACGACCGCAGTGGCGAACTCATAGTGCTCGCGGTTGCACGTGAAGGCGTGTGAGAAGGCGCTACTCACGGTGATGACGTCATTTGGTCCCAGCATCTTTAGCTTGAGATAGGTGTAGTTGGGGATTGCCATGAACCTTGTGTAGCGTGGCTGCCCCAAGATGGCATGGTAGGACCCTGGAAAATCCACCACCTCGAACGTGAGGACCTCTGAGCGGAAGTTGGCCCGGCCGCCGAACGTGACGGGTAGATCGATCTGCCCGAGCGGGTATGCCTGTGCTCCCGGGATTACCCTGTGGAAGGGGGAGCCCGCCATGCGGAGCTCTGATCGGGGGATGCGCATGGCATCGAGGGTGTCGATATATAGGATGTTGAGGCTGCTACCTCTGTCCATCAACACCTTGGTGAGGCACTTCTTGCGGACAATGGGGTCGACGATGAGCGGGTAGCGTCCTGGTCTTGCGACATGGGAGGGATGGTCCCTCTGATCGAAGGTGGTTGGAGATTCCAACCAGCTGAGGAAGGAGGGGATGGCTGTCTCGGCGGTGCATGCCTCCCTGTAGCGCACCTTGTGCTGGCGTTTCATCCAGATGGCGCCGGACCCGTCGAAGATCATGATACACTCCTCAGGCTCGGGGAAGCCGTCTCCATCCTTGCCTGCCACGCCTCCTTTCTTGGCCACCGCCTCTTTGCTGTCTCCCTCCTTTGGCCCGCCGGCCTGTCGGAGGAAACGTTTGAGGAGCTTGCTGTCCTTGAAGAGGTGATTGACGGAGTAGGC